GAGCAGAGGGGTCAGCTCATGGCAGAATGCACTGTCAGTTTTTAAAAAGTTCATCTTCTGACTCTGTCTGAGTATTTGGTCTGGGATTTCCTCTCTGAAATATTCGTGTCAGTTTTTCAAGCCAGGTTAGTCCCAGATCAGCCAGGGTGTGACTGTCCCATGTCCCCCTCCCTCCATGTACAACCAGACCTAAGTGTCCAGCTCTAGGGAAGGGCCCTGGGGGTGCGGCCTCCTTCCCCTAGAGGTTCCTGGGACCAGAAGAAGGTAGGTGGTGAGGGGCGGGGCTGCCTCCGTATTCCCTGTGTCCACTCAAGGCTCCTCCAGGTCTGTGTCCCTCCCCAGGGCCCCGCCCAGCCCTTGGCTGTCCCAGGGAAGGGGCAGGTCTGGGAGGCCCCATTGGCTTTCCCCCGAGAGGCGTGTCTGGCTCTGGGCTCCTTGGAGGCCTCCTCATTCCCACCCTGGGCCTGTGTCCCCTGTAGCAGGCCCAGGCTGACCCTCAGGACCCACAGGGTCAGGGCTGGGGCCCGCCCACTGACCAGGCGCTCCAGGACCCCTGGGGTGTGCTGCTGTCACTCCTGCAGCAGTGAATGGCCACCTGTGGTCATGGAGTCAGATCCAGGTGAAGAGCAGAGACCCCCTTCAGCAGGGTGACCCCCAGCAGACACAGCCCACTTCTCCTGGAGGGTCTCCTGGTGTGTGGTGTTCACCTCTTTTCCTTCCCCCTGTAGACCCCCATTCTTAACACACGCTTCTGCTTTTCTTTCTTTAAATATTAACATTAAAATAAACATTTAAATACCACATCATTGTGAACGGGGTGTCCTCGACATTCAGAACCCCAAATTGGATCTGGGACTCCATCTTGACCCCAAACCAAGACTTGTAGACCGCCAGAAAAAGAGACTCAAGACTCCCTGTTGCTTCACCCCTCCCCCATGACCCCTGAACAGAAAAGACCTTCCTTACCCACCTGCACCCAAGGTCAGTCCCGCTGGCTCTTGTTTTCTGTCCAAAACGTATATCAGCTTCCATTTGGCGACACTCACTGCTGTGCCCCCGACGGGCAGCCTGGTTGGCCGTTCCGGTCAATAAACCTTCATACCCAGTGTGACACCCTGTCTCGCACTCCAGCTTTCTGTCCCAACATCTGGGTGCGGGGACGCGGATCAGGTGCGTCTCACCATCGACCCTGCTGTCCCTCAGGGATCCCAGCTGCTGTGGTGACACCTGCAGGAGTGTCCTTCAGTGGAGTGCTTCAGGCACTCATCCAGCTCTGGCCACCTGGTCCCCCACAGGCTCTTCCCTGGGGAGTCTCCTTTTTGGGGTCTAGTCTCTCTCTCTCTCTCTCTCTCTCTCTCTCTCTCTGTCTCTCTCTCTCTCCCAGCACTGGATCTAGATCTCCACTCCATTAGAGCGTGGTTCCACTGGGGTCAGTCTGGAACTCCTGGCGATGGTGACGGCCCGTCCTGGGCAGACTCCTCTCCTCATGTCTCTGGATTTGGAGACTCCAAGGACGCTGGGCCCTCCATCCCCCAGTACTCAGGCTCCCCAAGGGAGGAAGTCCACCCAGCACCCTCCCTGACTCCCTTTGGCATGTCTGCTGACTCACCCTAAGCTTCTCCATTGGGCCCAGACCTGAAGGAACCAAGCGTGGCCCAATGTGATTCAGACAATGCCTCCAAATGGCCACCTAAAGCACTTTGGACCTGACATTCTTGGGGACTTACATAAGTTCTTAGAGTCCTTTGTTCTCCACTAATTATCTCTAAGTTCTCAGGCAGCTTACACCCCCCTGGGCAGGAAGAAGGAGCCCCCAGTGAGGCACTGTAGATGTCTCAGAGTCATATCAGGCCTTTGGATGGTTTTCTGGATAGTTATATGATGTTTAAATATAGGAAAGGGACTCTGTATTGCAGACTTGTACTCAGTTATGTGATGAGGAGACTGCACGGGCGGGCACTGAGTCGGAGGTCCCCAAGGGCACTGCCTCCTGTGTGCAGGACAAGGAACCAGGAGAAAGGGTCTGCCAGGAGAAACCTCGGACCCCTGTTCTTGTAAACCCCCCGCTAA